AATATATTAAATTATAAATCTATCACAATCATAATTATTTCAGGTAATAAAAACAGCGTTTGCATATTTAAATATACTCAGAACAGTAGCAATGTAACAAAGATATGTATATATAAAACATAAAAGATTTTCCAATAGAACAGATCAAATGTATATTTACTGAACTTATATTAATAATGAATGTAGAGTTGATATAGATAATTCTTGTTATATTAATAAATACATCTTTCATCCCACATAATAATATCATTCAAACAATATGTACATGTGTGATAGAATTAATTAATTATTAATGAATTAATCATTATTAATGCAGACATAATTTTAATATATGTAATATCGAAAACAAATAACATTTTTTTTTTGATTTGACACTAACTCGTTAAACAAAAAGATAATCACTTTAAACTTTATTATGTACATTCAAACTAACTTATCAAACTATTCAAAGGATCATATCTAGAAGAAAAAAAATTGTACTGTCTTTATGGCTTATAAAATAAAAATATATTTTGATTTTACTTCCGTAAAGATTGATGATGGATCGTCCTATCCACGGAAGACTCACGAGAGATAGCTGCGCGGAAAATGCAAATCTCATGTATATAATTCATAAACAGCATTAATAGTTTATTAGTAAAATACAATTTTAAAATAAACGAATGAATTTAATATCAGCGACTTTTCATAATTTTTTCGTAAAAACTTGGTTTCGCCTTTAGGTCATTTATAGATATAATAAATATTATATCGTAAAACATTTATATTATTTTAAATCTTTTGTTACCACCAACACACGCCTAAAGATTTATAAATATTATTATAAAATATATTAAATTATAAATCTATCACAATCATAATTATTTCAGGTAATAAAAACAGCGTTTGCATATTTAAATATACTCAGAACAGTAGCAATGTAACAAAGATATGTATATATAAAACAAAAGATTTTCCAATAGAACTGATCAAATGTATATTTACTGAACTTATATTAATAATGAATGTAGAGTTGATATAGATAATTCTTGTTATATTAATAAATACATCTTTCATCCCACATAATAATATCATTCAAACAATATGTACATGTGTGATAGAATTAATTAATTATTAATGAATTAATCATTATTAATGCAGACATAATTTTAATATATGTAATATCGAAAACAAATAACATTTTTTTTTTGATTTGACACTAACTCGTTAAACAAAAAGATAATCACTTTAAACTTTATTATGTACATTCAAACTAACTTATCAAACTATTCAAAGGATCATATTTAGAACAAAAAAAAATTGTACTGCCTTTATGGCTTATAAAATAAAAATATATTTTGATTTTACTTCCGTAAAGATTGATGATGGATCGTCCTATCCACGGAAGACTCACGAGAGATAGCTGCGCGGAAAATGCAAATCTCATGTATATAATTCATAAACAGCAGCAGACATAGTTCGAAAGGAATAGTATCCCCTCTTATCATCTTATTAAAATGCACCCTTCATCATCCTGATATGGCTGATCGCATGAATACTTGTTTCTTGGAAGGGATGCTACGCGAAACGGCGCAGTCGTATTTAACTTCCCGAGCTTGTATCTTTGCACAATCCTTTCAGTATCTAGCAAGCTCCCGTGCTTTAACGATGTACAAAAATCCTACGCAGAATTCGAACTTCGTCGCGACTGTCTACGATTATGAGAAAGACGTGCAGCTAAGCATTCAGCTGAATCGTTGGATACTGAAGCCGATCGGCGTCTGGCCAAAATCAGCAAGAACCTCATGGATAGAAAAATCCGCTTATATGCTAATAAACGTGATTTGCACCAGTCTCATTGGCTTCCTGTTCATACCCTGTGCTGCCTACATGGCGCTCGAGGTAGAGGACACGTATAATACCTTGAAGCTCTCCGGACCTCTGAGTTTCTGTCTGATGGCCGTCATTAAGTATTCCTCTCTGATCTTGCGCGAGAACGATATCCGCAAAGGTATCCAGCACATCGAGAACGATTGGATGAACACCCGGTATTACAAAGATCGGATCATCATGATTAGAAACGCAAAGTTCGGCCGTCGTCTCGTAGCGATATGCGCGTTCTTCATGTATGGTGGTGCTGTGTTTTATTACCTCGCCATGCCATTCAGCAATGGCAAGGTCACGGAGATTGACCTAAATTTGACGTATCAGCCTCTGGTGTATCCGGTCGCCAGAGTATTCGTCGACGCGCGATACAGTCCCATCAGCGAGATTATCTTCTGGATGCAGTGTTTGTCAGGTTTCATCGCGCATTCCATCACCGCCGGTGCATGCAGTGTAGCCGCCGTATTCGCAATGCATGCTTGCGGCCGCTTAGAGATTCTAATGCAATGGATCGAGCATTTGGTAGATGGAAGGGAAGACTTTCGCGGCAACTTGGATGAGAGAATGTCGATGATTGTGCAGCATCACGTTCGGATCTTACAGTAAGTCATTTCGTGACTCTATATAAAGCAATTATTTATTATATTTTATATTACATTTGTACAATTGAAAAGTATGATTTTCAATTGATTTAACGTCGACTGGCCAAGAGTTAATAATTTAATTATTAATTAACATTCTTAAAAAAAATCATATTTTCGTTTCTCAAACATCGTCTTATGCGATAATGCCTCTGTGGTCTTTCAGTTTTATATCGCTAACGGATAAAGTACTACGTGAAATATCTATCGTCGAAATTGTAGGATGTACGTTAAACATGTGCTTTCTTGGATATTATATTATTACGGTATGCATATCGTACAAAAAGTACGTACCGCCAATCATCTGTTTCAAGTAATATCGAAGATTATTTGCATTGTGATACGTGTAACGTATTCAAATATAAATATTTTTACATTGCAGGAGTGGAATATTAAAGAGCCTGCACATTATATAACGTATATTGTTCTCCTCATATCTCTTACATTCAATATTTTCATATTTTGTTACATTGGCGAACTTGTTGCTGAACAGGTATAGTTCTTATTCTCAAAGTTTTTCTGCACCTTTGATAAACTTAAAGACAAATCTTACAATTATATCTTTATATAGTATATTTATGTAAGGAAAAAATATATTTTTTATACAAATAAATATTTTATAAAAAATATGCATTTGGTGGATGGAAGGGAAGATTTCTGTGACAGCGTAGATGAAAGATTGGCAATGATTGTGCAACAGCATGTCCGAATTTTAAAGTGAGTCTCAAATCTTAACAAGGATAACCATTGAATCTTATATATATATAATATATGTATTAATTGTGTTAATTATTTACAAACATTTAAAAAAAATCATATTATCAAATACTTACAATCAAACTTTGAAATTTAAAATTAGAAAGAGAATTTTTTTTCTAGAAAATATTTTATATACGATAATATGCTCATTGTCTTCCAGTTTTATATCGCTAACAGATAAAGTATTGCGTGAAATATCTATAGTGGAAGTTATGGGATGTACATTAAGCATGTGTTTTCTTGGATATTATACTGTCACGGTATGCGTTCACGTACAAAAAATATGTACCGCGAAACGTTTTTTTTTTTTTTCATGAAAAGTATGATTCATAATTGATTTAACGTCGACTGGCCAAGAGTTAATAATTTAATTATTAATTAACATTCTTAAAAAAAATCATATTTTCGTTTCTCAAACATCGTCTTATACGATAATGCCTCTGTGGTCTTTCAGTTTTATATCGCTAACGGATAAAGTACTACGTGAAATATCTATCGTCGAAATTGTAGGATGTACGTTAAACATGTGCTTTCTTGGATATTATATTATTACGGTATGCATATCGTACAAAAAGTACGTACCGCCAATCATCTGTTTCAAGTAATATCGAAGATTATTTGCATTGTGATACGTGTAACGTATTCAAATATAAATATTTTTACATTGCAGGAGTGGAATATTAAAGAGCCTGCACATTATATAACGTATATTGTTCTCCTCATATCTCTTACATTCAATATTTTCATATTTTGTTACATTGGCGAACTTGTTGCTGAACAGGTATAGTTCTTATTCTCAAAGTTTTTCTGCACCTTTGATAAACTTAAAGACAAATCTTACAATTATATCTTTATATAGTATATTTATGTAAGGAAAAAATATATTTTTTATACAAATAAATATTTTATAAAAAATATATATTTGTACAATAATAAAGTTTATAGAAATGCAGGCATTTTTATTTTTTGATAAAAGAAAATCTTATTCGTAAGGATAAATGTTGATGAAAAAAAATGTATGAAAAAAATATAAAAAAATAATCTTATGCAAACAGTGCAGAAAGATCGGCAAGGTCTCATACATGATCGATTGGTATCGTCTACCAGAAAGAAAAGCTCTTGCTCTCGTGTTAATGATCGCTATGTCCAATTCGTCTGTCAAATTTACTGCCGGAAATTTCTTCGAGCTGTCTCTTAATACTTTCGGTGACGTAAGTAGTGCACAATGTCAATGCTTATTAAATTTATCTGTGAATAAAATATATGATTTAAATATCCTTCATTCAATCTATAGGTAGTTAGGACATCCGTCGCCTACTTGAATATGCTACGTACATTAACTTCGTAAATCCTGTCGTATATGTAGAAATTATTGCAATTGTTGACTTAAAAAAATATTAATTTCCCATCTATTACTTGAGAAAAAAGAGAAATAAATAAAGTATGTCTAAATGCCATTGTAATAAATTGAAAACTTATGTACCTATATGTATACTCAGAAATATTTGTATAAAAAGTCTAATGCGCTTTTTACATTTTCTTATCAAATTTCTTTTTACCAAAATCTCTCTTGCGATTAAGCATTTTATTACATGATATAAAATTATATAACACTGCTCGGAAATTTAAAAAATTCACTTCTAATATTTAAAAGACGAAATGTTAATTTTATATAACATTTATATTGCATGATTTAACGCAAAGAGATAATTATAATCTTTAATTGAATCTTTGGTTTTAATGGGTATTAATCGGAAATCAATAACCCAGTAAAGATTCTACAAATAAATTATAATTTTTTACTATATATGTCTCTTCTATATTATATATATTCTTTGAAAGGAGAATTTCATTTCAAGAAAATCACAAATAACACTTATGTGTAAAGAAAGAAGATCATCAGTCTTTACTGCTCACGGAAGATAACGTGTGCGGAAAATGCAAACTTCACGTATATAATTCATGAACAGCAGCAAAAATAGTTCGAGAGGAAAAGTAGTCCCCTTTTATCATCTTATAATAGTCATACTAACTATAAAATGCACCCTTCACTGTCCTGATATGATTGATCGCTTGACTACTTCTTTCTCGGAAGGGAAACGACGCAGCCGTATTTGCGTCAACTTCCTGCGCTTGTATCTTTGCGTAATCCTTTCAGTAGCCATCAAGTTTCCGCGATGTACGGAAATCCTACGCAGATTTCAAACGTTGTCACGACTGTCTACGATTATGAGAAAGACATGCGGTTGAGCATTCAGCTGAATCGTTGGATATTAAAACCGATTGGAGTCTGGCCGAAATCAGGCGGAATCTCATGGACAGAAAAATATATCTACGTGCTAGTAAACATAATTTTTACCAGTCTTATCGGCTTTCTATTCATACCCTGCGCAACTTATGTCACGCTTGAACTCGAAGATACGTACAATACCTTAAAGCTCTCTGGCCCACTGAATTTCTGTTTGATGGCCGTCGTCAAATATTCCTCGCTGATCTTCCGTGAAAATGATATCTACAGAGGTATCGAGTATATCGAAAATGATTGGACAAATACTCAATATTACGACGATCAAATCATTATGATAAGAAATGCAAAATTCGGCCGTCGTCTTGTAGCGATATGTGTATTTTTCATGTACGGTGGTCTCGTGTTTTACTATCTTGCTCTGCCGTTGAGTAGCGGCAAAATCACAGAGGATGATGGAAATCTGACGTATCGGCCTCTGGTGTATCCGGTCGCCAGAGTGATCATCGACGCGCGACACAGTCCCGTCAGTGAAATTTTTTTCTGGATGCAGTGTCTATCGGGTTTTATTGTGCATTCCATCACTGCCTGTGCTTGCAGTTTAGCCGCCATATTCGCGATGCATGCTTACGGTCGCCTGGAGGTTTTAATACAATGGATCGAGCATTTGGTGGATGGAAGGGAAGATTTCTGTGACAGCGTAGATGAAAGATTGGCAATGATTGTGCAACAGCATGTCCGAATTTTAAAGTGAGTCTCAAATCTTAACAAGGATAACCATTGAATCTTATATATATATAATATATGTATTAATTGTGTTAATTATTTACAAACATTTAAAAAAAATCATATTATCAAATACTTACAATCAAACTTTGAAATTTAAAATTAGAAAGAGAATTTTTTTTCTAGAAAATATTTTATATACGATAATATGCTCATTGTCTTCCAGTTTTATATCGCTAACAGATAAAGTATTGCGTGAAATATCTATAGTGGAAGTTATGGGATGTACATTAAGCATGTGTTTTCTTGGATATTATACTGTCACGGTATGCGTTCACGTACAAAAAATATGTACCGCAAAACGTTTTTTTTTTTTTTTCAAGTAATATCGAAAATAAACATATACAATTTTTAAATCGTATAATGTGACATATGATGCGTTTCCAAATATAAAAATCTTTACTTTGCAGGAATGGCAGAGTAAAGAACCTACAAGTCACATTATAACATATATTATTCTTCTCATGTCTCTTACGTTCAATATTTTTATATTTTGTTACATTGGCGAACTTGTTGCCGAACAGGTATATTTTTCACTATCAAAGCATTTATTATTTGCATTATTTAATAAATTCAAAATATGTACTTTTTTTTTTAAAGCAACTTTTATTAGTGTAAACGTAGACATGTATATCGTAGAAACAAAATAAGAAAAGTAATCCTGTAAACTGTAAACAGTGCAAAAAAATCGGCGAGGTATCCTATATGATTGATTGGCATCGTCTACCAGGAAAGAGAAGTCTTGCCCTCATATTGATGATTGCTATATCAAATTCGTCTATCAAACTTACTGCCGGTAATCTCTTCGAGCTGTCTCTCAGTACTTTCGGTGACGTGAGTAATGCAATATTAATGTCTATTATATTTTTTCACGAATGAGAATGATTTACATATAGTTCATCCAACCGATAGGTGGTTAAGACATCGGTTGCTTACTTAAATATGTTACGTACGTTAACTTCGTAAAATTTATCCGAAGTGTGGAAATTATTAATGTAATTATGCAAAAACACATCAATTAGTTATCCCCGATCTCATATCAAGAAGAAAAAAAAAAGAAAATAAAAAATATAATTTTAATAAATAGAAAATTTATGTGTGTATACTGAAAAATATTTCTTCAATAATTTCAATATGCTTTTTACATCTTTTCTTACAGAACAGTAATATCATAACACAGATTAAATATATTCAACAAACAAAAATTTCGAAGAACAGATCAAATGTATATAAAAATCTGTTTAACTTATTAATTATTAATATAACAATATTTAATAGATTTCTCATTATGTCAAGAAGCACGTTTTTCATCTATCAATAATCAATTTATCATCGCACGATATATTCATTTCATATTTATCTCATTATAAAGCTATAACTAAAAAATATATATGTGTAATATACATTTTTCAATTATAACATTATAACGAGATACATATACAAAACGTATCATTTATAAATGTCATAACTGACATAACTAATATTGTATTAAGAACAATTTTGTCAAACAAGTTGAAGAGACTGTAAGTATCGATTACGTTCTGTCTCTTAGTCAGACGGTTCCGTAATTTTTTTCATACTGTTCGATGCATGTCCGCGCAAGCGCTGACGTACTTCGTTGAAAAATACAATCAGTAGTAGTGATCAGTAGTAGTGCGTCTTCCGCGAGTTAACCATGAAGCATGCCTCTAGCAAGTTTGTCGTAGAAGTTTACAAAAAAGATAATGATTATAGTCTTCAACTGAATCGTTGGTTCTTGAAATCGATAGGAGCTTGGCCGGAATTATCAACGAACTCGATGATCAAGAATATTTTGATAAAAGTTCTGCAATTAATGTGTCATTCTTTAATAGCTTTTGCTGTAGTACCTTCTATACTATATATTCTTTTCGAGGAGAAAGACATCCGCCTAAAGCTCAAGGCTATAGGGCCAACGAGTCACTGTCTCATGGGCGGTATCAATTACTGTTCGCTTTTACATCATAGCGATCGGATACAGAAATCTGTCAAACATATGGAGACCGATTGGCGTATGGCGAAGAGAGAGCATGATCGGGAAATGATGCTGAAAAACGCGAGAATAGGTCGCGTTATAGCGGGCGTTTGCGCGCTGATCATGCAGGGTGGTGTCCTTTGTTACAACTTAGCGAGAGGAATGTCACGGATAGTCGTGATCGTCGGCAACGAGACGATTACAACAGGTCGCTTACCATGTCCGTCTTTCAACAAAATTGTGGATACCAGAATCAGCCCGACATACGAAGTCGTACTCGCGCTGCAATGTCTCTCCACTATCGTGGTGAATAATATCACGATTAGTGCATGTGGTCTTGCCGCTGTTTTCGCGATGCATGCTTCCGGTCAGCTTAATGTAGTAATATTACGTCTCGAAGAACTCGTCGGTGAAAAACAAGAGCTCTTACATCTAAGACTAGCGAATATCGTGGAGCATCATTTACGAGCGTTGAAGTAAGATAAAAAAATCATCAGAATTATATAGAAATCAATTTTTTTAATTATCTATTAAATAATACGGTTATATTTGACTTTTTATTGACATTCAGATGATCTCGCCCGCGTGTTTAAAATTGGTTTCCTATAAAATGCAATTTTTGGTAATTATAAAAGTATCAAAAAACTATAAAATATTGAAGATATTACTTTACTGCACTTTTTGCATAACATTTTATATTATATATATTTGCAGAAAATGAAATATTTTTGAGTTAAAAAATATTAAAAATATTAAGGATTTTTTGCCAACTATTGTAAATGTATGAATTACAGATTTCTTTCACGTATGGAGGTAATTCTGCGACAGATATGTTTTGTAGAATTAATTGGATGTACATTTAATTTATGTATGCTAGGATATTACACCATTACGGTACGTTATAAAAATTTGAAAAAGAAAATCTATGATAAATTGAACATATCTTTTTTTTCTATTTTGATTTTGAATGCTAATCAATTCGCATATCTCCAGGAATGGTATGAAGAAAGTATGAATACTTTAATAACATATATCATGATACTTACATCGATGATGTTCAATATTTTCATATTTTGCTTCATTGGTGAACTAGTAGCAGATCAGGTAAAATAATCATTTTTATATCAAATTTTTTCTCAATAATTTGTCTATAATTAAAATATTTTTATTCTTGATTCGTGATTGATTCAACTTTGCGATAGTGCAAAAAAGTCGGTGAGGCAGCTTATATGACTAACTGGTATTATTTGCCGCATAAGACTGTCCTCGGTCTAATTTTAATAATTTTGCGATCAAGAATTGTAATCAAAATCACGGCTGGAAAAATATTTCATATGTCTATCCCAACTTTTGGTCTTGTAAGTCATTATATACGACTTCTATAAATAAAACAGATTTAATTTCTAAAATTCTCCATGCTACAAATATGCAACAAATAATTTATAATACAAATTTACATAAAACATAATATTTGTGTAGAAATCTGTCGGACTATAAATTAATTATATATTAAACATTTCAGGTAATTAAAACATCAGTTGCATACCTAAATATGCTTCGAACTTTAACTACGTAAATACTGTGTGACAAAATAGAATTATTTTAAAATATATTCCATATATAGACAATGTAAAATAAAATTTCTTATATGTACATATTATAATATATTATGTACATATTATAATATATATTTTAAGAAAAAAAACACACATTCTTTAAGAAAAGAAAAGCCTTACGCATATAATACACGAATAGCAACACATATAAATCAGGAAGAAGAATATTCCCTTTCATTCTCTTATAACAGATAATAACTAAAAAATGCACCCTGCCATGCCACATAACATACCTGATTGCTTGACTGTCTTTATCCTGGAAGGAAAATTACACCGCATTGACATATAACCACATATTACCCTCCGTTCCATACAACAAACTGCAAAACTGCAAGTATTGATTTCGCGCAATCCGTCAACCGTAAAATGTCTTTTCTATCCCCTCAGAAATAAACTATATGGCCGCGCAGGCGCTGCAGTAATTACTACTTGCCGTTGAAACGCACAGTCAGTAGTAAAGATCAGTATCTAACGCGCCTTTCGCGGATTAAACACGATGCGTTTATCTCGCAAATCCAAGGTAGATGTTTACAAGCGAGATAACGACTATAGTCTTCAGTTAAATCGTTGGATTTTGAAGCCGATAGGCATTTGGCCCGAATCACCCACGAGCTCGATTATCGAAAAGATTTTATCAAAAATTGTGAGAATAGTATGTCACTCTTTAATAGCTCTCACTGTCATACCTTCTATATTGTATATACTATTTGAAGAGAAAGACTTCCGTTTGAAATTAAAAGCTCTAGGACCCACGAGTCATTGGCTCATGGGCGGTATGAATTATTGCTCGTTACTATATCAAAATAAACAAATACGTAAATCTATCGTGCACATGGAAACCGATTGGCGTATAGCAAAAAGAGAGAACGATCGGGAAGTGATGCTGAAAAATGCGAGAGTAGGTCGCGTTATAGCGGGCGTTTGTGCGTTGATTATGCAAGGTGGTATTCTCGCTTATAACGTGGCGAGAGGAATATCGCCTATAGTCGTGGTTATTGGCAACGAAACAGTAGCAATTGGTCGCTTACCTTGCCCGTCTTACAATAAAATCGTGGATACCAGGTTTAGTCCGATATACGAAGTCCTATTTACGTTGCAATTTGTTTCTGGCATAATAGTAAATAGCACCACGGTCGGTGCGTGTGGTCTCGCTGCAGTTTTCACGATGCATGCCTGCGGTCAGCTTAATATAGTGATGTTGCGACTCGAGGAACTAGTCGATGGAAAACGGCACGATATTATAGTTCAGAGAAAACTGGCGAATCTTGTGGAACATCATTTGCGCACATTAAGGTAAGACTTATAATTGACATTAATTTATTATTGTGTATGTTTATAACTTTCAAATATATAAAAAAAACTGCGATTTCAGGAATTTCAAAAATTTTTAATCTAAAAAGTGATTTGGACATAAATATTTAATTTTTTTCTGAAATATATAGTTATTGCTAGTGTATCAATATCAGGTTTCTTTCGCGCATGGAAATAATTATGCGTCAAATTTGTTTTGTGGAATTAGTCGGATGTACATTCAACTTATGTATGCTTGGATATTACACTATTTCGGTATGTTCAAAAATATGAAAAAATGAATATGTGACAGAGAAAAATGCTTATTACTTTTTAAAATTTTATCATGTTACATATTGTATGTTTCAGGAATGGTATGAGGAAAGTACAAACACTTTAATAACGTATTTCATTGTTTTTACATCGATGATGTTTAATATCTTCATTTTTTGCTACATCGGTGAACTTGTTACAGAACAGGTAATTGAATTTACGTTATCACATTTTTATCATTTATTTTGTTCATCATTTTTTTACTTAATAAATAATATTATAAAATTAAAATATTATCAAAATTTTGATTCTCAAAAATTACTTACTCAATTTTACAACAGTGTAAAAAAGTCGGTGAGGCAGCTTATATGATAAATTGGTATCAATTGCCGCATAAAACTGTGCTCGGTCTAATTTTAATTCTTATACGATCGAGCATTGTTATCAAAATCACTGCTGGAAAAATATTTCATATGTCAATCGCAACTTTCGGTGATGTAAGTGTTACGAAGAGTGCTTATATGTCATTTCTCAACTGTACACAATTCAAAGTAATTATCTTTCAGGTAATTAAAACATCTGTGGCATACTTAAATATGCTTAGAACTTTAACCGTGTAAAAATATTGTACACTACAATGTAAATTTAACGCTTAATAAATTCCATATAATATTTGTCATTAGAAATAGTCAACACAGTATACCTGTAATCAATTAAATAATTAATTTTTTAATTCTAAGTATTCTTCTGCTATACCTGAAATGAGACTCGAATAAGACACGTGCTGCTTGCTATATAAATATTTAAAAATATACAAGAGAAAAGACATATTCTTTAACGAGAAAGATCATTATATTAATAAACAATTCATCGTGTTTAACGGAACATTTACATAACTAATATTTGATAGTATTTGTTCAATCATTTTCTACCTCTATTACTCTTGTACCGCATATTACCCTCAGTTTCCATGCAACAACCTGCGAAAGTCAAATATTGATTTCGCACAATTAATCAGCCGTATAATGTCTTTTCAATCTCCTGAGAATTAAACTATATGGCCACGCAGGCGCTGCCGTAACTACTGCTTACCGCTGAGACGCGCGGTCAGTAGTAAAGATCAGTAACTGACGCGCCTTTCGCGGATTAAGCACAATGCGTTTCTCTCGCAAATTCAAGGTAGACGTTTACAAACGAGATAACGACTATAGTCTCCAGTTAAATCGTTGGATCTTGAAGTCAATAGGCGTTTGGCCCAAATCATCTATGAGCTCGAATATCGAAAAGATTTTATCAAAAATTCTGAGAATAATATGTCACTTCCTAATAGCTTTCACTGTCATACCTTCTATATTATATATTCTTTTTGAGGAAAAAGACTTCCGTTTGAAATTAAAAGCTCTAGGACCCACGAGTCATTGGCTCATGGGCGGTATAAATTATTGCTCGCTACTATATCAAAATAAACAAATACGTAAATTTATTGTGCATATGGAAACCGATTGGCGTATGGCGAAAAGAGAGGACGATCGGGCTGTGATGCGGAGGAACGCGAAAATAGGTCGCGTTATAGGGTGTTTGCGCGCTGATTATGCAAGGTTGTGTTCTCGCTTATAACGTGGCGAGAGGAATATCACTTATGGTCGTGGTTATTGGCAACAAAACAGTAGCAATTGGTCGCTTACCGTGCCCGTCTTACAATAAAATCGTGGATACCAGGTTCAGTCCGATATACGAAGTCATATTTATGTTGCAACTTGTTTCTGGCATAATAGTAAACAACACCACGGTCGGTGCGTGCGGTCTCGCAGTAGTTTTCACGATGCATGCCTGCGGTCAGCTTAATATAGTGATGTCGCGACTCGAGAAACTCGTCGAAGATAGACGGAACGATATTCAGAGAAAACTGGCGAATCTCGTGGAACATCATCTGCGAGCATTAAGGTAAGATTTATAATTGATGCTATTATTTCTTATTGTGTATATTTATGTATAACTTTCAAATGTATACAGAAAATTGCGATTCCAGAAATTTCAAAAATTTTGGATCTAAAGACTCATATCATAAAAAATAATAAAATTTGTAGAAAGTAATCATAAAAAGTAGAGTATAATCAACAATTTAGTTTAATACTTAAAACTTAAACTAAATTGTTATAAAATAATAATTTTTTTTAACAGAAAATATTTAATTTTTTCTTGAATGTATACTTACTGCTAGTGTATCAATATCAGGTTTATTTCGCGCATGGAAATAATTATGCGTCAAATTTGTCTTGTGGAATTAGTCGGATGTACATTCAACTTATGTATGCTTGGATATTATATTTTGGTATGTTCAAACACATGAAAAAATGAATATGTGACAAAGAGAAATGCTTATTACTTTTTCAAATTCTATCAAGTTGCACGTTGTATGTTTGAGCAATGGCATGAAGAAAATACAAATACTTTATTAGCGTATTACATTGTATATACGTCGATGATGTTTAATATTTTCATATTTTGCTACATTGGTGAACTCGTTACGGAACAGGTAATTACATTTATATTATCACATTTCTTCCGTCATTTTTTTCCTTAATAAATAATATAAGATTAAAATATTGTCGAAATTTTGATTCTCAAAAATTACTTACTTAATTTTACAACAGTGTAAAAGAGTCGGTGAGGCAGCTTACATTATTACACAAATTGGTATGAACTGCCGCGTAAAACTGTGCTCGGTCTAATTTTAGTTATTATACGATCGAATATATGATAGTTATCAAAATCACTGCTGGAAAAATATATCAATCGCAACTTTCGGTAATGTAAGTATTATGTATGTAAGAGTACTTATATATCATTTTTCAGCTTATCAAAATTCGAATTAATTATTTTTCAGGTAATTAAAACATCTATGGCATACTTGAATATGCTTAGAACTTTAACCATGTAAATTGTACAATACAATGTGAGTTTTATTATTTAACGCATAATAAATATTTTATATCTAAAATTAGAAAATTACATGAAAAGTTTTGCATATTGTGTATTTTGAAGTACATTTTTGAGATACTATGAATTATCAGGTTTTTCTTTTGTCTTTTATTTTACTCCAAAATGATTTCTAAGTATTTGATATAAATAATAAAAGTAATCTTTTTTTTATTTCTGCATAAAAATAAAATAATTTTGTATACGATAAGCAAATCTTTGTAAATATGCAAATCAAGTGTCGTATATTCTACAATTCTGTACGATCACTTATAAAATAAAATGCACTGCACACAGTTTGTACCTAATATATGTCTATAGTTGCAAGTGGCGGTGCAACAAGTAGTGATTATCGATTAGCACAATGTCCCGCCTCTCGTGCAAACCTATCTATAAAGAAGAATCTGCGCAATCGCTACATTGACTATTCCACTTACCGCTGAAAGACGCGATAACAAAAACGTTTACAATCAGTATTTCGCGTGCTTTCCACAACGGATTATGATGATATCACTACCTGGCAAGCCGATGTCAGCTTCGTATCATTATAAGGAGCATCATGATTATAGTATCCAGCTGAATCGCTGGTTCCTGAAACCAATCGGTGCTTGGCCGGAATCGCGTGCAACCACCGTTGAAAGAATTCTATCGAGGATTATTCAGATAACGTGCTATGTTCTCATAGCCTTCACAGTAGTGCCTTGCATGTTGTATTTCTACTTCGAGGAGCAGGAATTCGATGTTAAGATAAACTCGGTGGGTCCCGTGAGCCACTGGATCATGAACGGGATAAATTATTCCTCGCTGCTATGGCGCGGCAAGGATATACGTCGTTGCATCGAGCACATGAAGAGCGATTGGTTTACGGTGAGTAGGATCGAAGATCGCGTTGTGATGCTGAAATACGCCAGGTTTGGCCGATCCGTAGCCGGTTTCTGCGCCGTCTTCATGCACTGTGGTGTGTTCTCGTATAGCGTGGTGAATAGTCTGTCGCCAATGATTATCACGATCGGCAATCAAACCGTCATAATGCGACGATTACCTTGCCCGTTCTATAGCAATCTTCTGGATACCAATCGCGATCCGATAAACAAGATCGTGCTGGCAATGCAATTTTTGTCCGGTTTTATAGCAAATTCTATCACGGTTGGTGCGTGCAGTCTTGCTGCGGTTTTCGCGACACACGCATGCGGTCAATTCGCCGTGCTTTACTCATGGTTAAGCGAACTGATCGATGAAGAAAAGGAGAAACGATCTATTGAGTGTAAATTGGCTAACATAGTCGAGCAACATCTGCGTGTATTAAAGTAAAGTATTATTTATCGACTTTATAAAGAATTAATTTATAATGTATACTAAATAAAAGAGAAGGCAGCGATTAAAATCTGAAATAATTATAATAATTTTAGTTTCTTATCAAGCTTCGAGAAAATTATGAATCAAATTTGCCTCGTGGAATTAGTTGGATGCACGTTAAATTTATGCTTGCTTGGATATTGTTCCATTAAGGTATAACAAAAAAATATTATTGTATCATTTTCTTGGTTTCTCACTAACGTTATACTAAATTAGAGAAAAATCATGTAAATTTTTTTCTTGTAAAATTTGATAAAAGAAATTAGTCTGTTTATATGTCATCATTCGCATATATGTATATCATTCAATAATATAGATTGGTGAAATAAATCAATAATTTTCTTTTTGGTTCGTGCATTAATAAATAGCTATCATGCATTAATGAATAATTATAAATCTTAATCAATTGTCATATAAATTTTAGTTTTGCCAGACAAATAGGAAATGAGTTGTAAATGAGTTATATATGCATTTTTTATTTAGAATAAGAAAACAGAGAGTTTTATAGTAAGTGATATATGAAAAAAGACAATTTATTTTGACATAAAACAATTAATTTATTACCACACAAGAAAAAAAATTCACATGATTATTTGCCTTTGATTCAATATTACTGCAATAAGAAAAAGTCTTAATATTTTTCATTGAGATATTGATCATTTCTATATTTTTAAAGAATTTCTATTTTCTCAAAATACTTCGTATTGCAATTTTAGGAATGGAATGCGAAAAATACGAAGACTATAGCAACGTATAGTATTTTGTTCATTTCCATGTCTTTTAATATCTTTATATTCTGTTACATAGGCGAACTAATCACGGAACAGGTAATACCCATGAGCAAACTGCATACTGCTTTTTTCGAGATAAAAATTTATTAATAAAATTTTATAAAATATTTATGAAATTCATACATAACGATATATTTATTATATTATATCCATAAAATTAATTTCAGTGCAAGAAAGTGGGCGAAATGGCTTATTTTAGTGACTGGTATTGTTTACCTCATAAAACTGCTCTCGGTATAGTGCTGATAATATCGAGATCCGGCGCCGTGATTAAAATCACTGCCGGAAAACTAATTCAACTTTCTTTAATAACATTTGGTGACGTGAGTATATTTTAATAATATCAAATATCACATTTTCATTTAAAAGTAAAAAATTTCATTATTTCATATATTATACTCCATTGCACTTTTGCATAGCATACTTATGAATTATCTAATTCGTGAGAAAGTTTGGCATAAAAGTTATGTTAAATTTATCAAGTGTATAAAAATTAAAATCTTTTCTATAAGATTTACTTAATTTAATTTCTTTTTGTTTATTTCAGGTAATGAAAACATCTGCAGTATATCTTAACATACTTCGTACCATAACTATGTAACTATAATATATGTAAAAAATGAGAGAAAATTAAATCACATACAATAAGAAATGATTTAAAAATCGTCGGCTTTTAATAATATTATTTCCTTATTGTTAATGTGTATAATAAACCCTTCAAATATTAAGATTATCATAACATAGAAAAAGAAAATTAAAGTTCATAAATAATATTCTATATATAAATACGTAGAGGTACTTATTTTATGTATGCACTTTAAAAATCACATAATATCAAAATTGCTATTTTATCCTTTCCTCTTTTTTACGATCTGCCACATCACTCTTATTGTTAGAATAAATTAGTCAAAAGAGTTCGCGCACCAATTTCAAAGAAATGCCATTGTATTTTCTTCCCCTTCAATATAAAATATTATCAATTTATCCAAAAAATCAATTTTTAAACTAATATAATTCTGCAATGTTTCGATAAAATGCTTCACGTATTACGTATAATAATCATATATAAAACTCTTTGATCAAGTTACTGACTCATTGTCAGCGTATATAGATGCATTCGCAACGTTTACCGAAGCAACAAGTCCGACAGCACTTTTCAATCGATCAGATTTATTTCATAGTAGACTATCTTTTCGCGCAGACGCCACAGTGACTGTTGCAACAATAGTCGATTAGTAGTCGTTGTGCCGTCGCGTAGTCACAATGTGTCGGTCGATGACTAAAGAGCTGCATGATCACAGCGTACAGTTGAATCGGTGGTTTCTAAAGCCGATAGGCGCGTGGCCGCGATCTACCACAACTTCGAGCAGCGAGAAAGCCGTCTCTCGCGCTCTGATATTGGTCTGTTATTTTTTAATAGCCTTCACTGTGGTGCCGTGCGCGTTGAACATCATCCTCGAGGAGAAGGACGTCGAGCTGAAACTCCGTGCCATCGGTCCGCTGAGCCACTGGCTCATGGGCGCAATGAATTATTGTTCCCTACTGCTGCGTGGCGCCGATATACATCGATGCGTACGACATATGGAAATCGACTGGCGGATCATCAGGCGATCGCGGCATCGCGAGATCATGGTGAAGAACGCGAGACTGGGCAGATTCGTGGCAGGTTTCTGCGCGATATTCATGCACGGCGGCGTCTTCTCCTACAGCATCGTGTCCGGGATGACGACGGTGATGGTGCCGATCGACGACAATCGGAGCGTCCCGATGCTCCAGCTGCCCTGTCCCTCGTACAGCAAATTTGTGGATGCTCGATTCAGCCCAGCAAATGAAATTGTGCTAATAATGCAGCTGTTCTCAGGTTTCATAGTAAACTCTACCACTGTCGGAGCTTGCAGCCTGGCCGCTGTTTTCGCTATGCATGCGTGTGGTCAGCTCGATATTTTGACCTTACGTCTAGACAATCTCGTCGAAGGTAAAGATGTGAAAGAAAGTGATACGGCCCAGCGGAGGCTGGCCGATATCGTGGATCATCACTTGCGTGTTTTGAGGTAATTCTAGGGGGTTACGTGTTATATTATATATATATATATTTAAAAATAAAATATTCGAGAATGTAATTTCAAAGATGTAATCGTAATTGTCTAACCGTCTATTCAATTCAATATACAATATTTCTTTATTAACAGATACTTTCCGTTTTATTAACATAAAATTATTTCCTTTTTTATTTATGCAAGCAAATCGCGAGACTTATATTTAAACGATATTTAGTTTTAATTTTGATATTAAAAACTATATATATTAATAATTTTATTTTATTCCTTTCCACTCGCTCTTATTCTCATGAGCTACCGAAATGAGTTTTTGGAAGCTGAACTGTCTTTTCTTTTGTATCATTAACAAAAATTTTGGAGAATCTTTCAATTAATGAAAAAATACTATATATAATGTCTTACGCAAATTATATACCTTTATTTTATTTATAAATTTTAGAATATTATAAAATAAACTTTTTCTCTTGTAAATAAAATTTTGATTATAAACTATTTAAACTTCGATATTATATGATGAAACAAATAAAAATTACGATATGTCGATAAATGAAAATAGTTTAGACGAAATTTTGTAAAATACGGTAAAATATCAAAGTAAAATTTCTGTAATTTCTTTAAATTTTAATTTTAGGTTTATAGCGCGTATTGAAGATGTTATGCATCAAATATGTCTGGTAGAATTAGTTGGATGTACGTTTAACTTATGTATGCTTGGATATTATTCAATTACGGTATGCTAATCATCTTAAAAGGTGAATATGTATATAGTCACAATCACTTTAATTACACATCTTTTAAAATCTCAAAAACTTTTGTCTCAAACAAATTCTCAATTTGTTATATAATCTTTTTAGTGGTGGAATAAAATTGATGCAAAGAGCACAGCGGCATATATTATTGTATATATATCGATGAGTTTCAATATCTTTATATTTTGCTATATAGGTGAAATTTTAACGCAACAGGTACAGAAATTGTGAATATGGACTAGCACAAATATTAACGCATATATTTTTAACAGCCATATTTATTAGTGTAAGAAAGTTGGTGAAATAGCGTATATGACCGATTGGTATCGCTTACCTCATAAAACAGCTCTTGGATTGATCCTGATTATATCCAGATCAAGTGCTGTAATCAAAATAACTGCTGGAAAATTAATTCAACTTTCCATTGCGACTTTCAGTGACGTGAGTATCAACAAATTCTTCCTTAGAAGTATTTTCAGTAAGTTATCAATCATCATTCCAGGTTATCAAAACGTCCCTCGTCTATCTAAATATCTTACGAACTGTTACAACGTAAGCATGAATGCGATCGTAGAGATTTTCGATATATTTTTACCTTCTTTATTTATATAACATTTTTAAAATAAAGGCACATACTAACACAACATATTATTTATCTGTTATTAAGAAATACAATTTAAAATTAAAATTTGCTTAAAAATGCAGATTGTATTATAATTACTATTTTATGCAGATTGTGTTATATCTTTATATGGCATTCTTTACAAAGTATCTTATACAACTTCTCATACCTCATTTATTAATAGCAATATGCACGGATCACGTAAAATATTATGCCACATTCACAATGATATGCACCATAGCATATTAATCCTCCCACAAAACTCTTTATAATCAGCGCTATCTTTCCGCGAGCAGTTATTGATTAGATATGCATACGGTCTATCGGAAAGTATAACTCTTTACGTTCACCAAACAAATCTAAAGATTCGCGCAGGCGCTCGCTCGAACATATAACTCCAACCAGCGCATTACTTATGACTGCATACATACTTGTCACACTCAGTGCATCGTGCGCCTCCACGAAGCGATCATGACGTATTCCGAGCGTGTGTCAACGAGCATTCAATTGACATATAAAAATAATAATGATTACAGTTTACAATTCACTCGTTGGTTTTTAATGCTAATCGGTATTTGGCCGCGAATGAGCACGGCAACGAAAGTCGAAAAGCTCTCTTCATACGTGCATATTCTCGTCTGCTCGTCCTTGATAGCAATTGTCGTGGTGCCGTTTTTGTTATATATATGGCTGGAAGAGAAAGATATCGAGATAAAATTGAGCATGATAGGTCCGTTGAGCCACTGGATTATGGGCATGATTAATTACTGTTTGCTCCTCGCACGCAGCAACAATATCCGCGAATGCGTGCGACACATGGAAACGGATTGGAAACTGGTTAAAAGAAACGAGGATCAACAGGTGATGCTGCAACAAGCCAAGATCGGCCGTTTCGTCGTCGTAATCTGCGCGATATTCATGCAGAGCGGCACATTTCTCTTCGCTATACGCAAATCGCTGACTACCACAATTGTCATTGTCAATAATGAGACCATTTCGATGCGTCTAATGGCCTGTCCAATTTACAGCAAGTTTATCGATACGAGGTTCAGCCCCGCGAACGAGATCATGCAGGTTGTAGAAATATTATCGACTTTTATAGTTAATTCTGTTACGGTAGGCGTTTGCAGTCTCGATACGATCTTTGCTATGCACGCGTACGCTCAGCTGAGTGTATTATTTTTGTGGCTAAACAAACTCATCGTGGACAAAAATAATGGAAACAATTTCGCTCAACGAAGACTGGCTATTATAGTGGAACATCATTTGAGAGTGCTGAGGTATTTCATTTAAGTCATTCTGAGTTTGCATTACATGTAATTTTATCATATTACAAAAGCACTCGTAAATAAACTAACTTATATTAAACAATGTCTCTCTTTCTTAAAAAAAAGATGTTATGTCGCGCGTTACAATTGCGTGTGCGTTTCAGTTTTATATCGCGTATGGAGTCTATTATGCAAAATATCTGCCTCGTGGAATTGCTGAGATGTACAATGAATATGTGTTTACTTGCATATTACTTTATTACGGTATGCTAAAAATAAGAAAGGTGAATATGTGATTATCACATTCTATAATTCTGTTTTTATTGATGAAAAATGTCAATTTAGTAATAATGTATATAGTATAAATATAAAAAAGAATTAATTCTTTGTTATTTCTAATTATTAATTTTTGTCTTTATAGAATTGGGGTACATCTGATATGACAAAATTGCTATCATTTGTCATTATATACTTATCTGTGTCTTTCAATATTTTTGTATTTTGTTACATGGGTGAGATCCTTACAGAACAGGTAATAATTTGAATTTAAGTCAAATACAATTAGTGACTATGCAGGCAATCTAAAAGATAAATCGTAATTTGTATTTTTTACTATGTTTCTAAAATATTTTTTATATCTCTAAACAAAAAAAAAAAATCTTTTAAATTTAAATTTATTAGTGTAGAAACGTCGGTGAAAAGGCATATATGATTAATTGGTACGAATTACCACACAAAACTTCTCTTGGGCTTGTTTTGATAATAGCAAGATCAAATAATACTACCAAGTTAACTGCTGGAAAAATATTTCAATTGTCAATCGCAACTTTCGGTGATGTAAGTACCACACATTGTACTTATGATAATCATTAATAAAAATTTATTATGTTATATATATTTGTGCTTTATATTTATTTCTATTATAAATTATTGTGACATTTTTATACTACATTTTCCTGTATTCTATAAGCAAGAGACTACTATTTCAGACAGTTAAGACTTCCATGGTATATTTGAATATGTTACGAACGATGAGTTCCTCTGCATGAACAATATTAATTATATTTAAAAACCCAACAAATATGTATATTTTGTATAGAGCATAGATTTGAGAGATACAAGTAAATAGAATATTCAATAAATAGAATAAATTACGTTGCAATATTTATAACTATGTTATTTAAAAGTGTAATAGATTTACATAGATTTCTACGTTATCCAAAACATTTTTTCTAAAGTTAAACATTAACGTTTAATATACAAGCAAATTTAATATATAACAAGATTCGCAATTGCAAGATATTAATATGTATTACAAGCAAATATTTTTCTTATATATGTCTTACGTATATTGTATTGCAAATTACGTATTTACACACAACTGTGAGAGAAAATTGATAGAAAGACTTACCCTATCCGCCACATATGTTTTCCACGTGTTCTCCATTCTTAAACAGTCAATGTTATATTTCCGCGAGCAATAATTATCGATCAGACATGCGTCTCTCTCGGGAAGCACAACCCTGTGCGTTCACCAAAGATTCGCGCAGGCGCCCGTTCGAACATAACTCCAGTGCACCACCCATCACAGTCAGTCCATTGTGCGCCTCCGCGAAACAATCATGACGTACTCCGAGCGTGTGCCAACGAGCATCAAATTTACACATAAAAACAATAACGATTATAGTCTTCAACTGACTCGTTGGTTCCTGATGCCGATCGCCGCCTGGCCACGAGCACACACATCAACGACGGAGAGGGTCTCTTTGCAGGCGCATATTCTCGCTTGCTCATCTCTGATAGCAATCGTCATGGTGCCGTGTTTGTTATATGTATCGCTGGAAGAGAAAGATATCCAGATGAAACTAAGCGTTATGGGTCCACTAAGTCATTGGATCATGGGCACGATTAATTACTGGCTGCTTCTTATGCGCAGCGACGACATCCGCGAATGCGTGCAACACATGGAGATGGATTGGAGACTAATACGAAGGATCGATGATCAGGTGGTGATGTTGCGATACGCCAAGATCGGTCGTTTTATCGCCGGATTTTGCGCGGTGTTTATGCAGAGCGGAACGTTCCTCTTTGTCGTAGCCAAAGCGATGACATCTATTTCCATCCTCGTGGGCAATGTAACGACATCGATGCACCCGATGACTTGTCCGATTTACAGTAAATTTATCGACACGAGATTCAGTCCCGCAAATGAGATCATGCTGGTCGTGGAGCTACTATCGTGTTTTATAGTAAATTCGATTACGGTAGGCGCTTGCAGTCTCGCTGCAGTTTTTGCGATGCATGCTTATGGTCAACTCAACATGCTATTCTCGTGGTTAAATAATCTCGTTGCGGACGAGGATAAGGGAAACGAGTATGCTGAACAAAAACTGGCTGCGATCGTGGAGCATCATTTAAGAGTGCTGAGGTATTTATTTAAGTATCGGGATTCGATTATGATTGCTCGTTTTTCATATTAGATAAAAATAGATAAAAATTCTATTTAACATTCACACTCTGACTAAATATTTCCGTATCGAATAAGATACTTTTATTTTTATATTTTATATAAAAAATGTATATGTTTATGTTGAACAAAGTACAGATATTTCCTTTATTAAAAAAAAACCGCGTTGGGTCTCATATATACGTTTCAGTTTTATATCGCGCATGGAAAATATTATGCAACATATCTGTCTCGTGGAATTGGTGGGATGCACGATGAATATGTGTTTACTTGCATATTATTCTATTACGGTACGCTAAAGACTTAAAAAGGTGAATATATGTTATAGCAGAATTTTTTTTGTTTGTTTATATATAAAATGTTAAATGTATTTTCTCTGATTTCCTAGAATTGGAGTGATTTTGATGCGGCAAAAATAATGTCATATATTATTGTATATTTATCTATGGCTTTCAATATTTTTATATTTTGTTATATTGGCGAGATTCTTACAGAACAGGTAATATCTTGAATTTATGATAAATTTTTAAACATTGAGGTTATTATATACTTATATATATA